CTTGCAGAGGAGAGGGGTGCTTGATGCATGTACATTTGCTTTCAAACAGGTAAGACCAAAGTCAAAAATCATAAGTTTTGCCATGAGGGTTAGAAGTCAGGTTACATTAGGGGAATACCTGCTTCAAAGCACCTTATGAAGAGAGCAAAACAGATAAAGCCTTTTTAAGGGAAGTCTTAAAATGAAGTCCAGTTCTCACAGAGGACTTGGAGCACTCCAGCATTTGCTGCAAGGCTAATACAGCATGATGGAGACAATCAGATTTTTGCAAAATGGAGAAGGCAATTGCTTGACACTGATCAATAACCCAACAGGAATGTGAAGGCTGACGATAACCTCACAGGCAATGTGTATGCACCCTGACAGAAGACCACTGTACATGGAGGAATTAGTGATGCACATCAGAATTCACCTGAGGTGACCCAGGCTCAGGAGCCTGGACTGCAGGGCAAACTCAGCCAGGTCATTGTACCTGAGGAGCCTGCAAGCAGCTCTCACTCAGCATCTGAAGCTACACAACCTGTGTGGCCTTGCCTCTATCTAGGGATGTAGCAAGAAGGTCTCCTGAGAACATTCTTCTGTTTGACAACAGAATTGATTAGGAGATTTCTTTTAAAAGAATCCTGTAATAGATTGAATAATGAAAATAGTAAAAAAAACTCCTCTTACAGACTGGTTTGCACAGTATGCTGCACGCAGATCAGAGGCCATTTTGATGCTGCACAACTGAAGATTCTCAGCATCTAAAGGGATCCAAGATCACCTGTTCCATTTTTATTTTATTATAGTGAAGTTAATACTCACTAAAGAAGCAGGACTTTAAATTACAATTTACAGAGTCTGTGTGCCTTTTTTCTGGCATTACAACAGACCAGCATCTCCACCATGACAGTGGAATTTAAGATTCTGAAAGACTTGAGAGAGGGACAATAGAAATACAACCCTAGTCTTTCAAAAGAACAGATTTCACCTTGTTCTAGTATCTGCTTAAAGACAGCCCTGAAGGGAAAAGGAGCTGATGAGGGCTGACTGTTCTACAAGAATTACTTCCTCAGAGCACAGCGATGGCCAGGGGAAAATTTTCTCAAATTGGCCAGCATTGGTAAAAGAGGAATTCATGACTCTGCTCAAACACAAACAAATAGTGTGAAGTGTGAAGAAGTAGGTTAGCTGTAGAAACAACAACAAAAAAAATTGGTTTCAAAGGGAAAACCATGACCCTGCTGATCCGTAGGGGTTCTAGCAATAAAAGACATTAAAAAAGCTGAGATACTCAAAAGAAATGTAATGATTCTGCTACATATGCATATTCACTATATTTTCTAATGAGTAAAATGTACCTTTCTTTAAGGGGTCAGCAAATATTTCTCTCATGTATTCCGAGGCAGACCAACAATTTATCAGAACAAAATGCAAGATCATTACAGAAGGCTCAAATAAGACAAAACTAAATATTAGGCTAAGATGACATTGCCTGGAAGTATTAAACCTATTCCAGAGGTTATTCTTCATTATTCTTCAGTGCACTGAAGTGTCAAATAATTTTAACTAACATTTCTTTATGTTTGTTTTTAATATGGGAATTGAGTGGTGTTTATCTCCAAGGAAAAGGTCTAAAAATGCCTCATACTTTTAAGAGCCACCAACACCAGACACTATATATAAAATATATATCTAATATAAAATATATATCTAATATAAAAGACAAAAGACCATCTCATTAGGCAGAAGATGTTGGACATACAAGAACAACTGGCACCAAACTTCCAAATGATTAAACTCTATCCCCTCAGGCTCAAGGCCTCTGTTAACACACAAAGAAAGGAGGAGAAGTCAAGGAGATTTCATCCATTTCAACTATGCTTTTAGAGAAACTGCATCGCCACACACCTTCCTGCATACCTGCCTAACCTACAAAACCACCATCAACTTATACATACAAATATATGCATATAGACATAGAACCATAGAATGTCCTGAGTTGGAAGGGACCCATAAAAATCACCAAAGTCCAATTCCTGGCCCTGCACATGACACCTCCAGAATCAGAGCATTTGCCTGAGAGCATTGTCCAAATTCTTCTCTCATGGTTTGATTGCCTGCTCCTATGAACCCATCTTCCTCTCCAGCCTGGCTGTGTGGAGAGCTCTGCCTCATCCTAAGAAACAGCCCCTGTTTTAGCGTCATCATCTCCACCTAGACAGAGTCTCCACTTATCTCAGGCATCTAAGGATATATTCACCTCATTTCTACAAACTATACTTGCAGCTGCAATTGTCAGTGCTCCTCCTATAAACACAGTTTATTATCTCACAGTCTAACATTTCCTTTTCATACTGGCTTTTGGCTTAATTTTTTTCTTTAGGCTTCTTTTTCCATGTGCCCGTCTTTGGAGACCTCTGGCTTTACCACAGCATCTTCCTATCATATTATTGCCCAAAAAAACTCTGAATGAAGCAGCAAGACCCCTTTTGTAAAGTAAAAGGGATACCGGTTTTATTTAACGGGCAAACATTTGACAAACCTTAAATATTAGCAAAGATTCTTTTCCTCAGCCATGATCTCTGACACTATTGAACTGTTGAAGTGGCTTTTCTTTTCAGAAAACAGCCAAAATCCAAATGAGCCAAGACAGCCTTTTTTAATAATTTGGAACTATCAAATGTATTTCCAGTATTTTCAAACACGATGCGCTTCAGTGTATTTCCTTAGGAAGCATCATCTGACTAAATGAAAAAATAGGAAAAAGCTTTTCAGAACATTATCCCTGTTCTTTTTCAACATTATTTCTATTAGCTTAGAATCAGAAGAAACCCTCAGATAAACAAGTAATCTTTATGCACAAACCACAATTAGCAATGAAAAATTTGGGATAAAAACAGGCTGTATAATAATGTAAACACAGTCATTCCAGAGGAGCTACTTTAGCTTTTCTGGTAATGTTCCCTTAGCAAAGAAAAAACACATATAATAATGACAAGGTATTTGTTCCTTATGCCATTCTCTCCTACTTAAATCTATATACACATGCCAGTGAAATGTACTGAGGTAAAAAGCTACATATTCACTGAAGCACTAGTGGATTATATGTTGGAAAATTGTTGCAATTAGGGGCTGGCTCCTCATTTCACACTAAGTTTACCCTCTCAACAATACAGTGGATATATATTGATTTAAAATAGCTGGGAATTTGTTCCTGGCATATTACCACTATTTATAAACATTAATATAAACACTTCTGCATTCAAAAGTATGGCCACCAGCAGCAAAACAGTAAAAAGGAAACAACAAAACACCACCAACAACAAAAAGGCAAACAAAAAAATCCCAAACCATACATCCCTGCATTTCCACGTCTGTTGAGACTGTATTAAAATGAATTTTATCTTTGTTTTCCTATACAAGTAGGAAAGACCAGCATTTAACTTTTAGACAGTTAGATAGTTTGGATAGTTCCTAAACTCATCTGCTCTCAGAGGCTAGGTGCAGTTTGTTCGAAGTGAGAATTATCAGATGAAAACAGCAATATACATCACCTCTTCTTTAGATCTCCAAAAACTGGAAACCCTAGGTCTTAGTTAATCCACTTTCTAGAAGCTTAAATAAATACCACTTGGTTTTAAACTTTTGGCACAGTTGTTTCCATTAAGATGAAGCTGTAGAAAAAAATGGTGCAACTACCAAAAAATTTAGATTCTCAGGAAGGAAGCAGTCTTACACAGGCTGTTGGAGCACTCTCTTCTGCTGAAGAAAAGCCTTTCCTTTCTAGTTATCTGGTGCGCTGCAAGGTATTCTCATAGGAATCCGGACAACAGATTACCCTGCCAATACACCATACTTTTTGAGTACTGAACTCTTTTGCATGAGCGTGAATAGACATGTACAGCTTAAATTTCACTCAGCAATGCAGGAAATCCTAGAAACTTCTTGAGTCTGGGTGAGATTAATTTCCACAACGAATAGAGCTGCCTAGTACAAACTGTATCATCACTACCCAGGTATTCTCAAACAACTCAGCCTGAATTTTCATACCATATCTAAAAAGACCCAAGTTCCCTATGTTACACATCCCCAAGCCCAACAAGGCTTCAGCTTGAGAGAGGATCTTAAGTTCCAATTTTTTTCCTTTTTTTTTAAATCAGTACAACAGTGTAAGACATTCCAGATAGACCCATAGGGTGTGTGCAAAAGCCTTTCTGTGTACACACTAAAAGCCACCATAGGAACATAAACCCTCAGCATAGTCCTAACTTTCTCTAGAAAGAAGATATGAACTACATAAAAAGACTTTTATATATTCTTGGATCACTACAGTTCTGTGATTCTGAAATGTTTTGCTTCAGAGAAGTTATTTTGTTAAATGACTACACTGCAGCTCCAAAGACAAAGAAATAGTTTGTGTCAGTTCTGCAATGATGAGCAGCAAGTTCAGATACAAAATTTAGCCACAAATTGAAATACAGAAGACAGGTTGCCAGGCTTCATTTCTGTATCAGTGTTCTTTATTTCCCTTTTAACTTCTTTTTCCAAATTAAAATCAACAACCAAAAAAAGTCACTGCTTTCTAAGTGCCATTTGATCATCCTACAGATATCAAAATCCCTCATGGACTCCCCTTTGTCTCCCCTGCTCCTTCCAAGACAGCTAAGTGCTTCTACAGCAATATTTGGCAAATAATTTGGCATTCTAATTAAGACTGCTTGAGCATAAACTGTGTTCCAAAATATTTTTTGGTCTCTTTTCTTAAAAACTCTCTTAGTTGAAATTTATAAATCATTAGTAATATTTCAGAAAATATTAAACACAAATAATTGAGATTTAGTACTAGACATAGCCATTTCCCCTGAAACTTGCAAATTAATATTGCTATTAAGTGACTGACTGCAAGAAGTCCACCCCAGATACCATGTCTCATACATATTAACATGTTAGTTCTCATCAAAGGCATTGCTTCACTCAAACACCAACATTTCCCTCTGACTTTAAAGCAATTCACTTACCTTGTGTCTGCATTTAAGTACAACGCCATAGGCTCCTGAAACAAAGAAGATGAGAGATAAGCCATCTCAAAGCAAAAAAAAAAAAAAAAAATTAAAAGTGGAAAGGTTAAACAGAGTTCAGCAACCTCCTAACTACAGAAGTAACAATGTTCCCAGTATTATTATCCGGAACTTGCATATACAGGTACTAAATCTCTGTACACTGAAACAATTTCATAAAGATTGCTTAAAAGTAAATGGATTTTAAAACACTGAAATTATTTTTTAAAAAATACGCTTGCAGGTAAGTTTGATAACTTGCATCTCCCCTAGTACCACTAATATGAAATCAATATATTAAACTTTTAAAAGGAAAAACAAAAAACAACATAAAAAAACCCCAAGCTCCCACAAAACTGTTTTATTTCTCTTCCCTTCCTTTCAGCTGACAAGGAAATTAGCAGAAGCTATAGATAATAAACACCTACAATAAAAATACTGCAGTCGGTAGCTTATTATCATTAAGAGGACTAAGTAAAATATTTATAAAATTCTAATTATTCTTTTATTAAGATACTACTTACCTTCACCTACAACCCCAAGGATCTCAAATTTATTCATCACATTACCAATGTTAGGAATCTTCATCAAGACAAATTCCTCTTAAGGTGAGAGCCACAAAACATGGCACGAATGGGGCTGTCTGAAGGTTTTGCAAAAGGCTCTTGGAAAAAAAAAATTCCACCTTGATCAATCAGACTTCTCACACCTTGTTTTAATTTCTAGGCAATCAATAGCTTCCTGGGGAAAGAATAGAAAATAACATAATTAATACTTTGATTTATTTCAATAAGAGAAAGCAATGGTATACAGGTATCACACCAATATAGTCTAACAATTTTAAGAGACAATTAATTTACTTCCACATTTTGTGATCAGGAGAGCTTAGCAGCCGGTGTAATGGATGGAACCTATTGAGACCATACATCTGACACAACAGCTGGTCTTGTAATCCCATACACAGGATGTCTATTACAATAATAACTTACTGGCATAAAACAATATTCTACAGAATGGAAGCAAACTAAAATGTTGAGAGGAACTACCTCAATAAGAAAAAATAAGCTTATAATTATTTATGGTATGCTTGGTGTATGTTGATAGCTAGGTATAAAAACTAATTTTGCTAAGTTAATTTCTTATTTATCCACTGTAATGATGAAAAGGATATAGCAGAAAGAGCACTACAGCAGAAAATAGCTTTCTACTACTCTTTTCTGTGATTATTAAAAAAAAAAATAAATGAAATTAATTTGTTAGACTAGAAATGAGATTTAAAAATTACTTCCATTATCAGCTTATTTAAGAAATGTGATAAACAGAAATAAAATGTTTACAAAGGGTTTTTTCCATGCTCGCTAAATACTGAAGTAATTTTTCAAATTAAGCAACTATACACAAGGTAAAGAAAAAGGTTTTTGGCCTGTTATAGGCTCACCACTTCACTGTTATCCTATTAGAAGTTCAATAAACAAAACCCATCAAAGTTTGGTTTTACTAATTCAGACTGCATTTGCTCCCATAATATTAAAGGCATATATATCCCACATTCAATTCTGGGCAAAAAAAAACCCTAAAATGGTTTCACCATAAATTGGAAATATAACATCTTTACAATTCAGTGATTCAAGGACAGAACTACTCATGAAGTACAAGATAGCAGGATGGAAGTGAATACGTTTAATTATGTGTAATGGGTGAGTGTGACCCAATAATGCTGGGTTCAGCTCACACAAAGGGGTCTCACTATAAACCAGGGCTGCTGGCCCAAAGCCCAGCGTTGACCAGGTCACTCACAACAAAAGGGCAACCCAGGGGTAGAGGGGAATCACAATAACATTTTCTTCAGCAAGCCACAGGCAGATCATGTGGGGAAGGATTGTTATTTTAGAAGCAACTCCAGTGTTAACCAACCACAGTAATTTGAAAATAAAGCAGAGTTACAAACCAAAGGGATAGTTAGGGTTTTCTGGTTTGCTTTTGTTTTTTAGAAAAAGCTGTCCAGTCCTTTATTAATTATTTCAGTGTTTTAATTTACTGTTTTAATTAATCACTTTTTTCTTCACTTCTGAATTGTACAAAATACTCTTTCCTCTCCCTTCCGTATGTTCTCCTCCTATTTCATTTGGCATCTCCTTCTCACAAAAGCCTTTCTGCTGTTTGTCCAGACTTTCTGGTTACAGTAACGAACTAAAAAAAAAGAGGTCCTGGAAAAACAGGAGCATCTGCTCAGTCGCACCCATCAGCATAAGAACAGAGAACACTGAGCTGCTTCAGCTTTCTACTGAAACAGGCTGGTGCCAGGCACAGGGCGCAGCTGACTGTCCCCATGCTGCAGCTGAGTGACAGAAATACTGCTACAGAGACCTTGAAACAACCATTAATGCCACCACAATGTAAGCAAGACACAACAAAACTGGTCAGCCAAATTCAGAATAGCAGAATTACCTGCCAGAAAGAAAAATCAGAAAACATATATTGTTTTCTATTAGCACTATTCAGTAATATCACCAAATCTGTTACTTCAGGCCCCAACATTATTCACTGACAAGTCCTTCCAGAAATTAGTTTGTGACAAATGGATTACTTATCTGCTAATTTTACCATTGTACACTCTCATTCTGCCTTACAGTGTACATAATACTTCCCAGGTATATCATGAAACAGTGAAGAGACAGGAGATAATGTACCAAAAACTCAAGAAGTTTAGATGCAGTTTCCTTTGTTGCTCATTCATAATTTTTAAATTTCTCTTGAAAAACTACTTGAAGCTATACAGGCCTGCAGCTTGTGATCCACTGTTTTTATTTTTTATTTTCAGTTCTCCAAATTTATTCAGTATGAATTCTAGCTTTTTATTGGGAATAAGGGTTAGACTTGCAAGTAGCTCATCTTCCTTTCTGAAATCCCCCAGCTAGGGAGGTTGTGGATCCCCAACCCCAGCAGTATGAAAGGCCAGGTTGGATAAGGCTTTGAGCATCCTGTCCAGTGGGAGGTGTCCCTGACCAGGGCAGGGGGGTTGGGAGAAGATGATCTTTAAGGTCCCTTCTAACTCCTAACATTGTATGAAATTCATTACTATACATCTTCTCCCCGCTCATCACATACCAGCTTCCCTTTTCACTTCATTAGAAGAGCCACAGAAAGCTGATCCCCTGATACCCCTGGATTCATGGCACCTAGAGAAGCATTTGCATGTAATTCCTTAAAGGTAAAAACCCTGTCAACTCACTTATTGATGTTCACTCACCATTAGTGACACACTTCAACTAGCCCAAAGAAACACACAAACCAGCTTCCCTAATTCTCCCCAAAGTGCATGACTGACTGACATCACAGGTAACACGGATGCATACAGGGGGACTCCCAAAAGAAAGCTGCACTGGAGAGACCCACCCCTTTTGCACTAGCTCCAGGCAGCTTTGTGCCCCATTCTGCTGTGGCAGAATCTTTATGAGAACCTAATCTTGAAATGGAAAGGAAAACTCGTGAAAGATGACTAGTGGAATGCAGCATTAGTACAGATTCATACCCAAACAACTTTTGTCACAACTCTTTTACCTTGAACTGGGCCATAATTCAAATATTAGTGATGTCAGACTAGCTAGACCCATGAATGACAGAGTCTTATAAATATCAGTGAGTAACTGTAATAACCAAAACAAGAAAAAACACCTAGAAGTTTTAAACAAAAAGGTGATCTCAACAAAGTTAACCATAGCAAGAATTACTTTATTCTGTGACTTAGTGAGGACAGGCTGGATTCTTTCAAGCTGAACACTGGAAAGCAAGGAAAACCTTAACTAATAACAAGGAAAACCTAATAGCTGCCACAATTTCATTCTTTACACTGAGTGCAACACTAGCCTGCTTTCCTAAATTGGCTAGAATAACCCTTGCAGAAGTGGAAATAAGGCCATCATTTACCTCTCAAAGGCTCTCACAGTAGGGACATAGCATTCTCCTAATATCTCTTTCTAAGGCAGCCAGATTCACAGCACTTCAACAATTTATGAATTAAGCCAGCAGATCTCTGAGATGTTCTCAACATTACCATGATGTTCTACAAAACACAGAGCCAACTCAGCAAAATGAGATGTCATGAGATGAACGAGAAAAAATTAGTTTTATTTAATCAAGAAGTGTAACAGTGTGAGACTTTAACACAAAAGTAACTGTTTTGCAATAGCACGTCAGGCTTATATGTAAAACCAAGAAAACAGACCAACATTTTTTAAATGAGCATACAGAATACTACAGCATTACGGTACCTGATAGTTTGAATTGAAATTAAAACAGTGAGGAAAAACCCTAGCTATTTCACAACTCCTTTTCCCTTCAAGACCATTAAGAATTCTAGTGCATCATCCAAAAGCATCAGACTTAAACACTCTATCCAAAGCCTCAAAGTGTAAGTAGAAATGCTATTCTTTATTTCATAATCATGAATACCTGTGTGGAGAGGAGAAGCACTTTTCACATAGTTAGATTTTAACAGGGACAGTGAGACTTATGAAACACATGTATAGATGTTTGCCTTCACAAAATGTAGATAAATAAAACTGTTCTAGAAATACAGTTAAATTTGTAAATCTGTGTCTTGCATATCAAGTATTCAGTAAATTTCATTTGTCTTGACAGAAAGAACACAACCTGCATTCTGCTGAACTTAGTTTCAAACTTCTAATTGACTTCAAAGTCATCCATGAGCTTTTAAACAAACTTCTTCCCAGCAGATAATAGACCCCTCTTGCTCCTCTAAAACAAGAAGTAAACTTGATCTGTTTATTTATTTATTTATTATGTTTACTCACCAAGAGGACACAACTAGGAATTTATAGAGGCTGGTTTACATTTTCCTCTGTGCTCTAACAAACCAGTGGGTCTGTACACAAATGTGAAGGACTTACACCATACCATCTGTCTTTGATGGTTATGCATTAATCCACACCCTGGCATGTCTTCTGTCAAACAAGGTACACAGATGAAAGAAGCATTAACCACTTCTGTTAGCAATGATGCATCATTCAGCACCTTTATACATGGAGCTCTATTCATTGGGGTTTTCCAGGAAAAATTTAGAGTTACAAGCACCCAATTCAGTGTTATTGCAGTATTAACAACTGACAGGGTAAAGAAAATAGCTGGGATTTTTTTTCTGGATTTATTGATCCAGAGGAAAAAGTCAGGATTATTATGAAGAATTACTGACCAGGAATAAAAAATACAGTACATGAGAAGCTGTAAAGAGGAAGCTAGCAGTAACATTCTGACTTAAGGAATGAAGAGAAAAATAATACAATCATACTGCTAGTGACATTGTACCAGTCTCACTCCTTAATTTGGAAAAAAGCTACCACTTTATTTTTCCATTTTACAGAGGGACAGTAGACCTTCTAAATGAGACAAGATTCTGGAGAAAGAGCTGTCAAGACTTCACAATATGAAGAAATCCACAACGAGGAAGTTGAAAAAAGAAAAAGCTGTAGAGATAAAAAGCAACAAGAACTTAACAATTCTAGCAACCCATTTTTCATACTCTAAGCTTCAATCTATCCTCCTCTGCTCATAAGAAAAAATTAGGAATGAAAGGAGCAGCTGGTGAAAATAAATACAAAATTTAGAAAATTGTCAAACTTT